TGAATGTGTCACGTAGTGAAAGAATTCTGAACTAACTAACCCACAAATTTTAAGCCAGATCACATGAACAACTTTCCCGAAGTCGGAAACATTCTAAATAGAAAAGATCTCAATATGTATATATATATATATATATATATATATATATATATATATATATATATATATATATATATTATACAGGAAATTGACTTGCACATTAGCGCCGCATAGTGAAAAAATGCTGTACTACTGTTCTCTATCCCCCTATCTGCCGAAGGCAGTAACCTTTTATATGGCCAGGATCATGATATCGACAGTGAGCATAAGGGCGTAAACACGATGACAGATTCTCTTCGTCGATTTTCTCATTTGTTAATAACTCGCTAGAGTTAACGTGTCTCGGTGCGTTTGCTGTTGCTTTTGATAGCTAATACAACCTGTTACAACTCTGCATTGAACAAATTCTAGAAAATTGTTTCGCTTAGCTGTAGCAATGCAAAGAGAAAATCGATGAAGAGAATCGATCATCGCGTATACGCCCTTATGCATGCTCACTGTCGATATATTCCATGTGGCCGTCTTACCTAGGGGTGGCCAACCTTACCCCGCATGATTTTTTTCTTTCATTATTTAGTCTATTTTTGATTCGTGATATTTGATGATAATCAAATGAAAAGGAAATTTTCTGTACAGTGAGTAGATGAGACTCACTCTAGTGGCTCAACCAAGACTCCCTGGTAACTAGCTCAGTAGCATGAGATCCCTGAACTGTGTCACAGGGCTGGCATGCTACTAGGTAATTCGGAGGGGCTACGCGGAACAAAGTGTGAAGAAACTGTGGGATTTCTATAGCGATGGTGAAATGAATTAAAGCTAAAGTGTGGATGAGAAAAGTCTAGGAATTTATTTAAACGGAATTATGGTGCGGATTTTGAGGTTTTATTGGGCTACTGTGGGCTGTGTTTTATGGGCTTCTGCTGCTTTGGTACGTATCAGTGTTGTTGCTTGTGTTGAGGCCAATGTTGTTTGACCGCGATGGCGGTCCGTGGCTTGATCAGTCCGTCGACAATGGCGGATCGGTGGCTTCGACTGGTCTGGAAGATTGCGGCTGTGGTCACGACAATAGTGGATTGGAGGATTGGGTTTCCGCGTTGTGATGGCAGTTCGCAACCAGGGAATGTAGCGATCCCTGTGCAGCTACCGAAGTAGTCTTTTCTGGGTCAACGGCGTATCCATTCGTTGGCGAATATCGGCTGACCGTGACAAGGCCACCTTGGTCGAGCCGAGAAGTTCTTCTTTCTGGCGATTATCAAGCCGGAGAGTGGAAGGTCCTTGACTTTTAGACCAAGACAGTCGAAACTAACTTGGTTGAAACGTGCCGATCGTGAACACGTGGAACAAAAAAAAAAGTCCTGAATACGCGGAACAAAAAAATGTCCTGAAGAAAAAAAGGTTGTTTAAAACCCAGCCAAAATCGAATTTGGTCAAACTCATTTACCTGAACAAACACCAGGAACAGAAAAAGGTCGTTCACTGCACTTTGAGGCACTTTGTTCGGTTCACTTTAGTACTGACTTATTATCCACTAACAAGGCACTGTAGGCACGAACGCCGGTTTACTTCTAAGCAATGGTTGACTATTCCATTCCTCCTTGGTTATCAAATTTTCCATCCGTTCCGTATTTCCTCTATTTTCTTTCCTTGTGGCTTATCACCACCTATCTATATCATCTCCTTCTCCTATTCAGTTTACCTCCCACAGTGGATCACAACACCCTTTCGTTCCTGTCTCGTCCAATTATGTTTATAAAAAAGGGGGCGACCCCGGCGTAGTGGTTAGCATCCATACCACTCACGCCAAAGTCACGAGTTCAAATCTCACCCCCGGACAAGTCACGAATGACCCAAGAGCGTCTGTCATCAAGATGACTATAATAAAAAAAAAAAAAAATGTTTATAAAAATATAGATTTCTAACTAATTTTACTAACACAAATTTATACAATTTTCAATAACAACAATTTTACCAACAATCCTACTAATCCTACTAGCCCAACACTGCCACTAAAAAAACACTACAGTTTATTTCTACAGTCTCATAAAACAACATGGACAAATTAAAACCTAGGACATTGCAATTAAACGGATACAGTAGCACGATACCTGAACAGAATGGGAATCAAGGTAGCAATAGTAATCCATATTCAGTATATCAGCTTTTCCCAGTTATCCTTATCGGCTCGATCGAAGTTGTCCCTTACCTCCGGGGTTACCTTGGGCAAACGCACCGCAACTGGGGAAAGAGATGAACTAGCCTATGGCTAAAAATCTCTTTAATAAAGAAAAAAAAAAACGCAACTGGGCGTCTATTATCCTCCTGTTGTTCAGCCAGTGCTGGTAAAAAATAATTGTAATATCACATCAAAGTGGATGCACTTCAATCGTGTTGAAAATGTGGTGTAATATTACTTGCCAAAAATTATCATTAATACAGTGCATGAACTGACATTACACTGCTTTCACTACATTTGTTTATTTTTGTTGCCATAAAAATTACATGAGATTTTCGAGATGGTTGAAGTGCATCCTCTTGGATGTAGTATTAAAATTTATTTTTTGCAGCGTATGTTAAGAACCTTAACGCTAGCGAATATGCGGATCGTTATCCAGAAGCAGCGGATGCAATAATACGTAAGCATTACGTAGACGACTATCTGGACAGCGTGAATAACGAGGAGGAAGCGATTGGAAGGCCGAGAGAAGTAACATTCGTTCATTCGAGAGGTGGATTGTAAGTCCAACTCGGAGAACGTTCTACAGAAGCTAGATGAGTCAACGAGCGCTGAAGTTAAGAAGTTTTCCAAGGAGACCGGAAGCTGTTCAGAACGTGTGTTAGGAGTGTTATAAATGCCACGGGATGATGCCTTCACGTACTCTGCCAACTTCGGTAATCAGCTTATATGACCCTCTAGGATTTCTCTCCCACTTTACCGTTCATGGGAAAATCCTTATTCAGGATCAGGATGTTTGGCGCAGTAAAGATACGTGGGATGAATGAATCTCAATGGAGCTCAAACAACGGTGGGACCAATGGGTTTACCTATTCCTCTCTTTGAGAGCTGTACGAGTGCCACGGTGCTATTTTCCGGAGCAGCCGTCAACGGAAGTCAACAATATACAGTTACATATGTTCTTGAAGCCAGCTTGGCTACATTTGCTCACGCCTATTTGCGCACCGAGGTAGCCGGCCAAATACAATGCGCTTTGATGGGCGGGAAGGCAAAGGTGACCCCACTCAAATTGATGTCCGTGCCTCGTCTGGAACTTCAAGCTGCGGTGCTAGGAGCGTGGCTGGTTGAGGGCATGTGCTCGACCCACACTCAGTCTATTGCGTAGAGGTTCACATGGACTGATTAAAAAACAGTGTTAAGATGGATCAACTCCGATCAACGAAGATAACGAAGATCCTTGAGAAGACAAATACCACGGAATGGCATTGGATTCCTTCGGATTTGAATTCTGCTGATGATGCCATCAAGTGGAAAGGAAAGCCGAATCTAAATCCGGAAGGTCGCTGGTTCGGAGGACTTGAATTTCTGCGTAGGAGTGAGGAGTATTGGCCGTCTTCTCCCGATGAGAAGTACGACACAACTTGGCATTCCAACTTGGTTATTGAGCATCAGGTAATTCACTCGGCCTTTGACTGGGAGATATTTTCGAAATGGCACCGCTTGTTGAGAACCTTCCTGAACCAAGAAAATTTTCCAATAGTAGAGGCGTTGATCTTTCGTTCAATCCAGAAGGAGGTATGAGTTGTTGTCACACAAATGTTGGATTTTATGTACTTATATTTCAAAGGTTATAAAAACGAATGACCTCTCCAAGTTGATAAACAGAAAGTTCTAATGTTTTGTAAACATGCAATTAAAAATTATAGTGTAAGGTCTGGGAGGCAGTGTTCTTATTGCTTTGGGTTTGGGTACTATATTATAGAAACTGCGCTGAAAATTTTTGTGGAAAGAAGTACGATTATTTTGAGTGAGGCCTCGAAACTCCGGTGTAAAAAGACAACGCATGCTGGAAAGTAATGGCGAGGATCATGCAAGCAACAGTTTCGAAAACATGGAAAGACAGGCCAATTATTTTGGTGAGTTCTTTCCTTTTGTATTTAGATAATTGTATTTCCATTCTCACATAATCTTTACTTTCTATTGCCGAATAGAGATTCCTAAATATATAAAATTTCATACTAACACAAATATGGGTTCCCTGCACCTTCTTAAGAAGATGTTGGACTAATTTTCTTTCCTATCCCCTGTGATTGTAAGGATGTGACCAGGTGTAGAATGTGATGCATGTTTTGCAAATTTTGATGTGTGGGAAAACCACTAGTCTCAAGTGTTTTTTTCACGACAACACACGATATTTTTAGCAAAATGTATTGGTCGAACATTATATTGTCCCCCACAATTTGTGCAATCTCATATGGCATGCTATATTTCAAAGGGAAGGCATTCCGGCAAATTTGTGGTATCCCAGGTCATCCATCGACGCACACTTTCTTCATCCACCGTTTTGGTAATTCTAATCCACAATATTTTCATCTGATTGGTGGTTTTGATCACTTTACCTTCTGTGTCCACTTACTCACTTAACCCTAACACGAATTTCAAATGTAAGTGTGATGTAAGTTATGTACCAACTATTTATTGGAATCATGCCGTCAATAATGGTTGCCGGGCTGCAGATAATAATCATCCTATCAAATACAATAAATGCTGCCATCCAACCAATCAGCCAAACTCACATTTAGCCATTTATTCACAGCTTATACCATCCCGCTGATTTAGATTAATAGGAATAAATTATGAACTGTGTACCATGCGCTTGACATAATCGAATATTGTTCAACGAGAACAATCCATTGTCATAGCCATCGCTAAACAACTCCATTATACAGCGTTTCGATTCTGTCCAACAAAGACAAAGCATTTCATAGGCTCTTTTATCTATTTCCAGGAAGCTTGTACGCCAGCAATAGATGCAGAAGCTGATGTACATGTGTGGTGCTCATTTGCACTAATGAAACAAGCGCAGTGCCATGAAAAGCCAATAAGTTCGATTTACCGGAAAATTTCGTCTCTGAATAGCCACTGACAATGCATCCGACGAGCAAATCCAACACCTCCGGTGGTGATAGTCCGTTGGCAGCTAAAGTATCCAAAAGTGCTGACTCGCGTAGATCTTCGACATCGTCCTCGTCCAGTACGGGGAAAACGAAATCCAGAAAGTGCAAACAATCGATGCAGCCAGGTAACGGAACGCAAGGCGCACCATTATCATCGAATTCAACCAAGCGGCTCATCATCGGTAATTACAATAATGATATCAAAACCACTGCCAGCACTTTTAAGCCCAAAGAACACGAAGCTGCGGAACTACGGAAAGCGCTTCGGAATGTGAATTTTATGCTGATCGCGTTGGTGTGCTGCATTGGAGGGCTCTCCTTATTCGGTCTGCAGTATATCAATGCTCGACTGGATCACCCACGCTTGTTGGCCACCCGTGCAGAGGTGGAAGAAATTGTGGAAAATTATCTCAGAAATAATATCGATAAATTTAGTGAGGATTTAATAGCCAATGTGAGAGCGTCAGCAGATTTCAGGTAAGCTCGATTAGTAGCAGGTTCTATTACTACAGTTCGAATTTTTTATTGAATCTAAAATAATAAGTAGTGATATCATTCATAACATATTTTTTGCAAAAACGTAAATTTCCCAATAGAACCATACATAAGTATCGTCCGTCCTTGAGAGTTATAAAATCCTCCTAAATCCTCCTGAGCTAAACATTTTATTTCATTTCGCTTGCCAAGTGAGACCGGATGGAAAATATGCAGAAGATGGAAAAAAATCTCGCTCATGACTGTGTTTTAATGGTTCCTGCCCCTAAATGGGGTAAGGGAAAATGCCACTTTCCAGAATTTCCTGAACACATGCCGCATTGGACTGCTGCATACCGGCAGTAGGGACCGGCTGAGTTGGCAAAATATAATAGAAGCCTTTAAAATTAACGCTGCACAAAGCATTTCTCTATCCACGCTATTGTGTTGTTCATAAAGCTTTATATGTCCTTAATAAAAAAAAAAAAACAATCGGTTGTAGGAAAAGTGGGAAAATAATTCACAGCTGTTGGCAATTTGTGACTTTGATGTTGAAAATAATTATGAGCTGCGACCAACTGAGATGCGCTTTTAATGTTATAATAAAAATCTCTGCAAATCTTTGTTGAGCTGTAAAGTTTTATGCAATGCTTTCTTTGGCGCTATAATTTACTTTTCGCCATTCAAGTATCCATTGAAGTAGAAAACATAATCTGAGTTATTTTCTCGTTCTTTTTCCCGTTCAATCCTTTCACAGCTGTAAACAGATTACTGCTCGTAATTTTCGACTTTTTATTACGTTCATAAATCATCGAGCGCACGCACCGTGCCATTTGCTTAATATGTTGCATAAATTTAAAACAGCGAACGAGCAGCAAACGGGACCGCGGAAAACCCGAAGCTACTGGGCTGTTTCTCATACGCCTACACACATATTTTATTATCTCCCATGTGTGCACCACTCCACCTTTACCGATGCCATATGGGAGTAAAAGCAAACCCACTATGGCATTACCACTGCCATCGCCGCAAGGTAATTTGCTTCGAGATTCATACGTCAACTTGCCATTCCATTAAAAATTGGAATATTTTTTTTTGCACGGTGTCATTATTTTTACAACCACTCGTCCTCGTTGCTCGGATTTCACGTTTTTGCACATGCTGTGTTATTGCCATTATCGAAACGGAATGGTCAAAATTCGTTTTTTGTTTTGCTGCGGAGATAGTTTGAGAAATTGTTTTTAACTACTTAAATCAGAAATTTTGATCAATTCATATCGTCCAATTCCCTCTTAAAAAATTGGCTATGTCTAAAAGTGATGTTTAATCGTATTATAGTCACTTTATGAAAGTATATTTATCATCATTTCAAAAATCTCATCCAAGTTTCGCCACCTTTTAGAAGTTGGCGAAAAAGTGTGTTTTTCAATAATATTTCTGACGACAAGACAAGCGAAATTTCAAAGTAGGCTATGAACACCTATGCAGTTTTTCAACACAGTATTAGGAATGCCCTGAAGGTCGATATTATGAAAAAAAAAACGGTTTTATACTTGATATCCGAAAATACGCTAATGTGGGGCAGGGGTTGTCTAGAATTGAAAAATATTTTATATGATTTAAGCGTGCCCCATTACCGCATTTCTTCAAAGAGAATCAGATAGAATCTGTGATTTATACAAAAACTAGTTTAACTGACAACAGACAGTTTGTGCCATTTTTGGGCTCCACAGTGTTTATTATATGCAATTTTTTAAGTCGTATGAAGGTCCTTTTTTCGACATTCCAAATACTAAAAAAAATAAAGAAACTATACACCCAATAGTGAAATTCAGGGTACTGCAGAGCCAGTCGATTTTATTTTGCAAGCCAATGGAAAACTGCTTGAAAATGTCCAATAGTGATAAATTGTTTTGCTCTTCTTCAGTTAAATCCCACCAAAAACTCTGAGCCAGGAGTACCCGAGCATCCATAACTCTCATAGAGTTTACATTATTTTTTCGCCAGAATACGTTTTATTGGAATTGTAATATCGAATAAATCAGTTAAATGTACGGAGGTTAACTAAAATCGAGCTTATTTGTATTTTGTAGTACCGTAAAACGAGGTATCTTTGATAATGTTGTTAACTTTGATAGTATAATATAAAGAATAAATTTACTCGCTGTGCATTTTCCAAATAAGAAACATTGATTCCATATTGTAGCTTAGGATATTTCCGTTGATATTGTATATAGTTTTACATAGTATGTGTTACATATTTTACAAAATATTAAAAAACCATTTTCGTGTTTTTCGCGCTTTTGAAAAAGCACGCAAACCATCACTTATGAAATGTTTTTCCGATGCAGCCATCACAAATTCAATGTTGAATTATTATTGCTTTTAAAGTTTTCTGATTATATACTCATTCAAAGTTTCATATTTAAAGAACTAAATTGTTTGAGTTTCACTAATTTTTTTTCTACATTCATCGAGCATTATCAAAGTAACCCCAAATCAAAATGCAGAAGTTAGGTCACAAAACTAAAAAAAAATAGTGCAAATGCTTTAATTTTCGTTCAACATATTACTAACGAATTAACTCTTGGATCCTCAGAACTTGTTTTAAAAATATAAAATTTGAAAAACATTAATTGTTTTACGGTACTTGTTTGTTTTACATTCATTATATTTTATATATTGCATGACTAGTAAATTATTTTTATTTCACATATTTAAAATCTCATTATATCATTGTAACTATAATTTTCATTTACAGAAGGTGTATCAATTATCAAATCATTGTTATTTACATTTATTTTATAATAATATAATATGATATCTATGGTTTTCAGAATTTTGATTACCCAGAGAATAAATTGAATATCACCATATGTTATTAAATTGTTTTACCTTTGCAGAGTTTTGCTATTTCAAGAATTAATCATTGATGCTTATTTTTATAACTCTTGTAGCTCAAACAACCTCGATTATTTAGCAAATTGATTCTTTACTTAAATTGTGGATTCATTAAATTGGCACAGTTGAGTTCAATCATACCATGCAATTAAAATATTCATATATAGCTTGAGTGTAAAGAATTTGAGTGACTAAAATCGAGGTTTTCTGTATTTTCCAGTGGCGTTTCCTTAACCTCGATCTACCTGTGCACCAACTCTCAAAACATAAATAATAATCAATATATTGCTTGCAATAGATAGATATCGAGTAAACTAGAAAATTGAGTGTATTTTCAACCGATTCGAATATGAATATGGCATTAAATCTGGTTTTGAAAGTTGGTGCAAAGGTAAATAGTGAGGTTACGGGACGCCATTGGTATTTTGTTATATTTTCTGTGTTTTAAGGAAATACATTTTGGATTTCACTACATATATTATATAAATTATACATTGCATGATATACTATTACCTTTAGCTTACTATTTCAGTTTACCCAAGCAAGTCATCGAAATTAATATGAAGCTGATGAAGCAGAAACATTAAATAATATTATATGTTTATAATTATTAAGCAGGTTATTTCTCGTCATGTTAGTTATTCATCACAATTTTTAGCATTATTGTTAGTATCATTCGAGTAAAATATATTTATCCTATACATTTCAGTGTTGCATCCACCTGTTGTGAGCTGAGGAGGTGTAGAGCTGCATCTTATTATATGTAAAATACTTCTTCATTGCAGTAGCAACTATATTAATTATATAAATGTAATTCATTATGTCATATTTTAATGTTCTGATATATTTCATTTCTCCATTGCATATATTTTCATTATATAAATAAATACTGGGTTGGGAGGGAGCATCAGGGTATCATTCAAACTGAAGCTGGACGATGGTACGATTGACAGCCGAAGTCTAGGAGGGAATAAACACTATCATTTTCTTTATCCTACCGATTCGATTATGGTGGTGTGAATTCTACTCCATCAGTTTCAGGGCGATTGACGCGACCTTCTTAACAAACCATCCAGTAGGAAGCTTAATAAGTATTGCGAATTGTGTTATTCGATTTGTTGGAGCGTATCGTTGGAAGGAGATTCTTAAATTCCCGTGGATTTCGCGTAAGTGTCTCTGCTTACGGGTCCACCCCTCCGTTTTTGACCCTTCATACAGCGATATAGTGAATTCAGATCGGTAGCTCAAATTGATCTTGCTATTAAGTGGAGCTGCATCCAAGACAAGTCTTGAAAGGATGGTGGCTACCTTACATACATACATACATACATACATACATAGAATACGTTTTATTGGAATTGTCACCCAGTTGAGTCATCGAATCTAAGCTGGTTTTCAATCTTAGTCCACTGAGCCTCTTGGTTTCGGCCGTTGAGCTTACAATCAATAATGTGTTATGAAAGAGTGCGAGATGACGATACATGACGATAGTTGAGGATAGTAACTACATGTGTGGCTTCTGAATGTTTGGCTCCCGTTTGACAGTTCACATTGGCTCCCAGTTGACAAGCATATTGAGTGAGTCCGCAGAACCAAGGTGAAATGTAAAATAATATTACAGATTTGCACAAAAAGTAGACAGATTTTGTAACGGTGTCGTCGGAAGGCTTTTTACGTAATTTTGTAATTTTTATTTTAGCTAAATTTTACGAACAAAGTTTGGTTCCCCAAATGTACTGCGGTTGGAAAATCATCTCGTGAAGGTTTTAACGAAAACATTCACGGTAAAAAATGCTTGTACGCTACATTGTAAGAACTGGCATTTCATTTTTAGTAAGAAAACTTGTAGATGATGTAATCCTCACTTTCATTTGATGTTGTTAGTTTGTGTTTGATTTGCGGGTAGGTTTTAATATACAGCGTAGTGTATTTTTTGTTTGACCATGATGCTAAAATCGAAATCTCAATGTATTTCGAACACCTCTAGCGCAATGGAATCATGCGTTCGATAAAGCGTATGTTTGTTTTCGAAATTGCTGTTAACCCAAGTGAAGTAGGATGAATGTTGTGGGATGAGTGAATACCTCCCCGTCATGATTAAC